GTAGCTTTTTAAAAAAATATTTTTGAATTTGTGACTGATTTGAACGATTTAGAATTGTTTCGCTCATAAAGATGTCGTTTTGAGCGAGATAACTCTCTCTCTCTCTCTCTCTCTCTCTCTCTCTATATATATATATATATATATATATATATATATAAGGAACAATAGCTAATCGTCGGCCGCCTAGATGACCACATAGTCCCTTGCGACCTAGTCGGTGCCAAAGCGCCTAGGCGGCTGATCGCATAAATCACAGTTTTCGATCATTTTTACAACATTGGCTATATCCAAGTGTCTTTGAACCTATTTATTGATTTTTGAATAATATTGCATTTTCTCATTATTTTATCTTATGCTTATATTTGTTTGATTAATAAGTACTGTGTATATAACTAATGAATAAATTTAATTATATTGTCAAGTCAACATGTCAAGATGTGAACATTATGAATTTATGATGTGAAATTAGAAGGAAAAAGGACATTATTGTTAATATTGTTGTTGTTATTGTTGTTGTTGGATTATGATAGAAACTCGCATATATTATTTGATAATCCATACGAGGTAAATATTGTTTATATGTAATAGCTATAAAATTATTAAATACATTAATATGATGGATATTATAAAAATTAAAAAGCACCACACACATCACGTGAGACATCTCAAATAAAACTTACTCTTTTTAAATCTGTATAATTTTGATAATTTCGTAAAATCAACCAAACAAATTAGACTTAAAATAGTAAACATGTTATATGAAGGTTTTTATTATTTTTTTTATTTTTTTTATTTTTTTATTTTAAATAAACGGCAAAACATCTCATCAGATGTCACTTAATTAGGTTGTTTAATTCATTATAGATTATAATACCCATTTGGTTGTCATATTTGTAAATCTTATTTTGTTGACAAGTTATTGATAGACGTCCGTGTGATGATGCAATGTGATTTTTTTTTCATTTATAATAAAATTTGTCATTTTAAACAAACTATCAGTTAAATTATTTGATACTCCGTACATATGAGGTTGATACAAAAGTGTGACAAAAACATCATCCCCACACAATTTGTCATAAAAAAAATAGTTAAATATATACCATTTGATAAATTATTTTTTAAAAAAAACCGTCGAGACCGAATTGAAAGTTCATAACAATACTGTATTAGTTGCCATCTAATTCACACGGGTGTTTTGTTTTAAGATAAATGTGCCTAAAATTATATTTTCAGATCCTATTTAAGAGATTTTTAATGACATTAATGATATGAAAGTGAAAGTCTTTATCAATTTAGCTCTAACTAACTTTCTTTAGTGATCCACGAGCTAGCCACTCAGACAGGATTATTTAATATCATATTGTTATTTAAATTGCACTCTAAGCCAACATTAAACTTTTGATATAAATCACATTAAAAACAAGTACTATAATACTACATAGTAAAAAAAAATAAAAATAAAAAATAAACAAGGTTGGTGTTAATTAATGTTTGCAGTGTAGAAAAACAAAAGCTTTTTATTATTTTTATTTTAAATTTCATTAAAGGGGGGAAAAGTCATTAACCATCATCATTAGCTTCCACCAGCTCATCGCACGCTCGGTCTTTTAAGCATGGATGGCATAACATCATGCATTATGCATCGCTTTGTCCTGACATCATCTTCTTCATCATACCAAGCCTCTGCTACGTCATTCTTATGTCATATCACGTCCCTCCTCGCTCAACTCCTCCTCTGTGGTTTCATCATCATCCTCTACTAGGTAATGTTAATAATGTATGTATGTACGTATAAGGTTGGACTAATGGTATTATCAGTTTGTCATAAATTTTAATAATTACCAAACTTGGGTTATCATCTTTTGTGGTTCTTAGATTTAGTCATTCTTTATTAATTTTGTTTATAGCTGATTAAATGATAATGAAAAATGAGACTCGTTGTTCTTATGGCGGTTGGACGATAGAAATTCATGACTTTTTATCGGTGTAATCTTGATCTTGTCTTGTTGTGTCTTTAGAAATACTCCTATAGTTTTTGAAGACTCGTCCATTTTTTAGGCTAATTCAAAAATTTTCAATGTTATGTTGATGAAGCCTGTCCTTTGATTTATGAGAAAACTCGTTGCAATTACTCGAATATGCTCTATGAGTGAAACACGCCTTATGATCTTAGTCAGCAAAAGATCATGATGAGGTAACCCAAACTAGATTTTTCATAGTTGACTGACTCAAACCAAGAAAACCAATAGATCAGACAATTTCACGAAACTCAAACTTGAAACCTTGTAATCGCCAGACTAACTTCTCATTAAAGCGTATCCTACATCAAAATATTGCAAAAATTGAAACAAGAGTTTAATTAAGATAGTATAAGTCAAACTAATTAATTAGTTTGGCTTAAATTCTGTAGGGATTTGACTCGGATGTATTAGGACCTAATTTGTTCATTAACACCGCTTATAGCTACTACGCATGTTATGATAGCTTGGAATGAATTATATATGTGCAGGCAAGTGTCGAATGCAATATGAACAAAGGGAAACTTTTAAGGGCTATACGGATTCGCAGGATCAAGTGAAAGTAGTGAATTTTATTTGGTCGGGGGAGTGATTGACAGATGAAACTTTAAAGCAAAAGCATGGTAGGAGTGTGGCTGACAACGTCGTAAGTGGGCAGTTGTCATCTCTGCAGAAAATTTCAATTTTGGTCACATAATTATAGAGGCTTTGTTAATTTCAGCACTTAACTTTTAAAAGTGTTAATTTAGTACCTTGAGTATGTAATTTCTGTCAATTTTGATCACTCCGGCCAAATTTGGCCGGAAAAATTAATCCAACATTTAATCTAAAATCTGAGGGGCAAAATGGTATTTTCAATCCTTTCTCCTAATTAGTGTTGACCTGGTTCAGAATGGAGATGGAGACGCTGAGTCAACGAAGACGCTGAATCGCGAATTCTCGACAACTAGAAATCCTTCGTCGGCATCTTCCTCAATCTCCAAGTCTAATGGTAATATTTGCTCACTCCCGACTTCTTCGCTGGCGGCTTTCCGTGATCGAAAACTGAAAGTCACATTGTGCACCTCGTAAACTCTAGATTTCCACTCTCCAACGCTCTCCGTCTCTCTTGACCTCTCCAATTCGTATGGATGATGAGAGTTGCTTTCGTCACGTCCATTCCTGGACGATATACGCTCGTTTGGCTAAAAAAATTGGCAACATCACTGTCGGTTAAAGGACTTCCAGCATTTTTAAATGCATCAAAAATTTTCCGGTCATCGTGGTTGAGAATTAGAAGTGAACCGGCAGGAATGTCAAAATTGCGGTCGCCCTCTGAGATTGACGTTATGGATGTGTCTGCTCTGAGATTGGCGTCGCGTTTCCAGATTTTGTATGTATCCAAAGGGGCGATTTTTGCCAACAAATGGAACAATTGAGCTCTCGAAATGAAAGAAAATCTCTATATAGAAGTCGCGCATTCTCCGGAGGGCGGAAACCAGGCGGGGGAGATGTCGGCGTCACTTGAACCAGGCGGCGAGGTGGTGGTGCTGCACGAGCGTCGCGACAATGTCCGAGCACCTCCGCACAATGGCCTCCTGGAGAGGGTCCCAACCAGCAGCGTTCTAGAGAGAAATGTCTGCTCCGGCATTGGCAAGTGTTCGGACAACGAAACCATAGTTGAGGTGGACACCAAATGCAGAGGCGTCTCGTGGTTGGGATTGTCCCATCGGTCTAAGACGGCGGCGATTTTGTCCCCATCTGAGTTCCCCATCCCGATCTCCATTCTGAACCAGGTCAAACTACACCAATTAGGAGAAAGAATAGAAAATACAATTTTGCCCCTCATATTTTAGAATAAATGTTGGATTAATTTTTTCCGGCTAAATTTGGCCGGCAATTTGACCGGAGTGACCAAAATTGACAAAAATTACATACTCAAGGTACTAAATTGACACTTTTGAAAGTTAGATGCTAAAATTAACAAAGCCCATATAGTCATATGACCAAAATTGAAATTTTCTCCATATACACACCAAAAATACTATATGTACTCTTATTTTGTACTTTCAAACACAAAATTTTAATATAGACATTTGTATTAAGATCCACATGAAAAAAGTAACTTATCAGAATCAGCCACATCAGAGAGTATAATTTAAAAATCTATAGAGTAGACCTCTATACCCACATCGTATTCATTACTCACCTTCGAAGGTGGAAGTCGTCTTTTATCCCAGAATTTGATCTGATAGAAATAAATAACTACGGAGTACATAACTAGCAGACTCTTAAGTAGGAGAACCTGTGTTTAAACTTCTCACAAAGTAACTATCAGAGGAGTACATTCTAAATCCTCACCCGTAATATATATTATTCGAGTATGTACTAATTGAGCTGCTATTATATGGACCAATGTATTCAAGAGTGGATCCACAATGGGGCAACTACCCAATTGTTATACCATGAACCAAAGTTCATATTATATTGTGAACCTTAATACAAAAATTATGTACCTTCAATTAACATATTATGTACGACTGTATCTACAGTTGACCGTTTTACATGCAAACAAATAACTTGATAATTGTTGACACATAATATGATAGCTACATGTATAGAAACTATCAATTACAAGTACAAAATGTGTTAACTATAAATACAAAATCTAACTTGATAATTGTTGACATATAATTTGATAGTTACATGTACAAAAACTATCATCTGCAGGTACAAAATGTGTCAACTAGAGATACAGAATTCGAAAGTTATTTTTTTACCACGGTTTACAATGCAAGGTAAACCCTGATCTATGGTATAATTTGCCGGCTGCTCCACCCCCCCCCCCTCTCTAACCCCATCCCCATTATATATATTGTATCTATACCCTTATGTATATACATAGTAAATGTTTATTTATCTACTAAATATACTTAGATAGCTTAGATAGATGGTAAGTTATATTGTTTCTATCTTAAAAAAATGCCAAGAGTTCAAATTAAGAACCGTTTTATCTTAATTATGCTTTATATTTTTTTTAATCATGTTTTGATGTATTTTTATTTTTCATCCCTGTTCAACAATATTTATAACTCAAACTCTAAATTTTTTTTTTTTAAATATATCATTAGTTTTAATCTTTCGACCTCACTGGAGAAATTCCTGAATGTATTCATTCCTCTCCTCATCTTCCCTACTAATGTCACGCCATTATATGTTCATGTCTAGATTTGTGCCCAAAAAATAAATACAAATTGCAGATTTCTTTATGGATTATAAATGTCTCTAATCTCTTTATAACCGAACCCATCATCATCATTAATTTGCCATAACTCCATCAACAAAATCAATTGCATTCATGCGGTTATTAATTGCAAAAATGCTCCATCATTTTGCTATGTTGATAAAGGGAAAATTCGAATACCCGAAACAGAAAAAGGAAACATGTTATGAAAGCTCGAAGGTACAAATGGAAAGACAAGGTTTATTTTGTATCATTGCAATCAGTATCCTTCAAAACATTTGCATGCCAAAACCACTTCTCTACTTTTGTATAGCTGTAAAACACTACTATTATAATACCATGTAACCGAGAGTCCGGCCAGGACATTGGTCATTTGATCGTTTGGCGAATAAGTAATAAAAATTTAATTAGTGTGAGTAAGGATTATTTTATCTGTGAAAAAATAAGAAGGAAGTCGTCATTTTAAAGTTATATAAATGTTGAAAACTAGACTAAATCTTTAAATCTCTTGAACTCTTATATAAAGTTTATGATATATCACTAGATTATAAGATTGTCCATATACAAAAGGTAAACTACAAGAGAAATACGCTCTACTGAGAAGATATTGATCTGACAATAATTGAACTAGTAAGATTTTAAATAAATAATTAGACTTAATTAAAAAGTCAGTAAATATATAGCTACAACCTAATTGGTCGGCTTAAGTTAAAATAAAACGGTTAATAAACAGCTATAACCTAATTGGTCGGTTCAAGCTAAAAAACAACTACAACCTAATTAGTCCAAAGCAGTGAATTTCAGAGAAAATGGAAGACTTGGGTTCGTAGAAAACAATGAACATTAATTTGTACTCAGAGGATTTCACGTGGTCTTGCCTTCCTCTGAGTAAACAAACGGCTAAGGTCAATGCATTCTTGTTGAGGTTGGTCCGTCACAGTCCGTCCCCCACGTGTGCAGTGACACACTGAAAGCTTTGGTTTACGGTTTACTTTGCAGGTTTTTTTTTTTTTTTTTTTTCACTCCATCTCTAACTTGGTTTGGAGTTTGGGCCTTTTGTATTTCTTTTGTTAAAATTAAAAGTCTAAACTTATACTAAATTATATTATAAATTTAATATTTTATTATATATATATATATATATATATATATATATATATATATATATATATATATATATATTCAACCTACTTTGAACTGTTTAATCGACTCAATGTCACCGTCAAATAAATCGAATTTGGTAAATTTCAATTCTCCTAACATGATTGTTTTCTAAAGAGAAAGGCAATAATAATCAATAAACTCCAGCCATAATCAGGTGGGATCAGTTAACATGAATTCGTTTGACTGGTCAAATAATTTAACCGACAACTTCTAAAATAAATTTAATGTACTAGAAATGAAATATAATTATTCTTCTTCTTATACAACATATGCATTAAATGTTGATTGGAACAATTTTCAGACAAAACAACACCAACCGAGAGGAGTAGAGGACAGTTGCATTGTTAACTTGTCTGATCTCGTCCGTATATATAACAAGTTGGGTAGTTGTAGTAGTAGTGAATAGTCACTCCATTCAATCATCTTCTTTTTAAAAAATAGAAATAAAATGTCAGATTATAAATTAAAAAAAAAAAAAAAAAACTATATCGGAATATGATTGTGCTAATTAACAGAAGAAATTTTAATATTTTTTGAATAACAAAAGGGATAAAATAACTTAATATATAACTTATGACAATTAGTAAGCGGACTGCTAACGCAATTACAAATTAAGTTAGAAGTTTTTGTAAAAGGTATATCACGTTAAAGAATTATTGACTACTCTTTCGGCCGAATTGAGTTATGCAAAAGATGAAGCAAAATAAGATAGAGAATTAAAATAAACATAAGCACACAAAGTGCAACAACACCTCCACTAAAGCTCAACATCAAACCTCCCACATGAGAGAGGTTACAACATGTGATCTGAGCACAAAGTGCTCGGCACACTACTATAACTTTTAGTATACAATCCTTTATCATCACCAATTTAATATGGGCCGGCAGTGCACGAAAAATATACTATTGTTAACGAATATAGTCCAAACTTTATCAGGAAACATTTGGGAATTTGGTCTTTAGCTTTTACGAGGACTGAGTTGCAAAGGATTTTGTGGTTGGACCAAAATGACAGAAAGGATCCACAAATATATCAGCGCATTTGTATTTCGGCCCAATTATAACTTTTTTTTTTCTTTTTTGGTAATACTGACTCTATTGCAATATAATATTTGTCCATATATCATTTCTCAACTTAATTAAAGCACAAAGAGTCAATGCTTTCAATGGATTAAACTTGTGACCTCCTATTTGAGAGAACTACGCAGATGTCATTGAACTAGAAATTACTTAACATCCAATTATAACTAATAACTTCTACCGTTGAAAAAGCTACAATCTTCATGTCACCCCAACAAATTTTTTTGCTTTTAGATGATGAGGAAAATTCCGTCACTATTGGAATATGTCCTTGTATAACATACAGATCAAGTAGGAGAGGTAAACTACACAAAGAAAATTTGTATGATGGGCTTCTTTGAGAGGGTGTTGAAAAAAATTAAATTTGTGAGTAAGACAATTTCTATTACAAAGAAAAGGGGAAAAAAAAAAAAGAAATTTCACGCACTTAGCTGATACGACATTGTGCGAGACGGCAAATTATTGTGTGGACAATGGTCTGCACAGTGTTATATAGACCATAATAAAAAGTACATTTTTAATATATTAAATGTAAATTATTTTTGTACTGAATGTACATTATATGATATAATGTACACTCAGTACAAAATAATGTACATCCCTTGAATATAATGTACATTATTTTTGTACTGAATGTATATTATTGTATAATATACAAAATATGGTCCACACAATAATGATTGGTGCGAGATGCGTGTCTTGTTCCTTAAAACTGGGCCAACAAATGTTTTACAGTTACCGTACAAAATACTAAGAAAAAACCTCATTCCAAAATTTTTAATTGTTTCCAAAAAAATCCCTAAAACCTACAAATGAAGTTGCTCTAACACCCCAATTTTGTGTTTTGTGTAGTTGTGACTTGAAAGGTGGATTGCCAATTTGCCATTAGCCTAGGCAAGCCGGATTTTCGGCCCTTGCCCTGAAGTAGAATAGATAAAATATAGAACGTATATTAACAATTACAGATTCTTCAAATTGTTTGTACACCTCTTTGATCCTTAATAACAATCTAACTCTCCTTTCAAAAAAAAATAACAATCTAACTCTACAAACCTATATATCCACTTTTTTTTGACCGATTAATCCGTTAAGCCAATTCAAGCCCCAAGATGTTTATGACCCTAGCCGGAGTCCTTAGGCAGTGGAGTAGGCATGGCCAGGAACTTGGGGACATCATCTCCGGGCATCAATATCGTCATGCTCCGGTCCTGTTTAGCCTCCGGCATCTACAAAACAAAACCATGAACAACAAAAACACAACCTTTTTCAATTTCCTCAACTTTTCAGACCTCGTTTTACATCTAAAAGTACATTACATATATATAAAGACAGCAATTCAATATCGGACCTTGATGGGTTTGGAAGGTGAATTACGAACATCAACTGATGATTGGGTACTAATTTGAGAATCAGTAACAGTAGAAGACCCACCAAGAAGAGACCGGAGCTTTTCCCAGTGGTAGCAGCAAGAGAAGAAGCCAGTTATGCAGATTAAGACCACTCCAAGAAGCCCAAGACCCAGAGGAAAAGCTATAATTGGCCTTGAACTAGAACACCCTTCATTCGTCATCTCACTACTAATTAATCTGCTTCAATTCCTCTATCTCTCATAACATATGCTAATTTAATAAATAAATACGGTCCAATTGTCTGTTTAAACACATCTTTTAATTTAATATCATAGTGAGACGACTATGCAAAAAATCTCATCACGTGTTGCTTGTGGCTCATCGATCCATGGAATCTTGCCATGAGATATTAATTAGCTAGCCAAGAGTCAATATCGTAAAAAAACGACCCTTCTGGGATTTGTGATCGTTCATCACAGAAATTAGGATAGGGTTTTGCGAGAGAGTACATGCAGAATAAGCACAGTGCAAATGCATATAAGGACGTACGATGATAAGACATGGAACCAATGGGGATCATACGCGTTGCTAAAATCTACAGTGGTTGAAACCCAAAAAAATCAACTAATAATGCATGGCTTCGTCGGTCAATATTTTCCACCCCTCGTGTTTCACATATATTATATTGTTTTTGATTCACGGAACATTAATCTCAGGCTTCACGCCAACTACCTTGCAATAGCATTCCGTTACCATTCTAAATAGATGATCATAGGTGCGTAACATCTTATTTAATTTGGTCTTAGTATTATTGTGACATGACTATTATTTTTGGTCTATCTGTCAACAAAATTATTGAAATACCGTTAAATTTAAGGACATTTTGATTTTTTTTATTATATAAAGTAGGAATAAGGTTCAAATTGGCCACTGAACGTAACCTGAAAGTGCAATTAGGCCACTGAACGAAAAAAAATGCAATTAGGCCACTGAACACTCCAAAAATGTGCAATTTCACCTGATAGCAGATTACCCTCAATTTTAGCAGGTTATCTGCTTACGTGGCAGCTGAGTCGGCATTTTTAATAAATTTTAATAATAACTTTTTATTAAAATTTTTTTTAAAAAAAATAAAAACGACTTTATTTTATTTTTTATTTAATTTTTTTCCAATTTTTTATAAAATTTATTATTAAAATTAATTATTAAAAATTATTTAAAAATTATTAAAAATGCCAACTAAGCTGCCACGTAAGCAAGTAACCTGCTAAAATTGATGATAACCTGCTATCCGGTAAAATTGCATACGTTTTGAGAGTTCAGTGGCCTAATTGCACATTTTTTGAGTGTTCAATGGCCTAATTGCACTTTTTTTTCGTTTAGTGGCCTAATTGCATTTTTAGGTTACGTTCAGTGGCCAATTTGAACCTTATTCCTATAAAGTAAGTTGACCCATTATACTTTTTTTTTTTTTTGGTTTATGTTTTTGAAAAAAATTCATAATTAAAGACGGAAATGTCCTTGTATTTTACAAATTTAAATGATTTTATTGATGGATGACAAAAAATGGTCATGCCACAATAATATTATGACTAAAAGTGGATGTTCTAAAAAAATGGACTAAAAGTAGACTGTCACCTATAAATCTAGGAGAAAAAATGGAATTAACTCTTTTTCTGAATGTTACTGACTCTATTACAATGTAGTATATGTTCGTATACTTTCTCAACCTACTGAAACACAAAGAACCAATAACACCTCCACAAAAACTATGTGGTCTAATGGTATCCGGGTTGTACTTCCATTCGGAAGGTTGTGAATTAACTCTTTTTTTTTTTTGAAAGCTACTGGTTCTATTACATTGTAGTATCTGTTCATATACTTTCTCAACCTACTGAAACACAAAGAACCAATAACGCCTCCACTGAATCGAAATATTAAGGTGAATAAAAATGAATCGAGTCAATTGTTTAGCTGTTATAAATTTGAATAATTATTTAAAGATTGAACTCCAACTTACTAGTGTTTTTTTTTTTTTTTTTTTTTTTTGAAATACAACCCGTCGTTTAATTCAAAATAATTGAATATCTTTATTTTACTAGCAGTGCGAATCTACGAATTGAGATGTTTAAAAATAAATAAAAAATTTAAGTAACAATGAGTGAATAAGAATCTAAAAAAAGTAGGAATGACCGGAGAAAAGGCGGTCCTCAAATCTAATCCATAACAAAAAGAGAAGATTCATCTATCACAACTAATTGGGGCTACCCGCCTACCCCCTCCTTTTTTTTTTAAAAAAAAAAAAAAACAAAAAATGATAATAATAATAATGATTTCTGTTCTTTAGTGAATCTTTGAAATTTTAAGTGGTCGTAAATTCACCGCACAAAGCAAATTATTGCACCCTGCACCAATAAACAGTAAACAATAAAATGAGATAGAGACGGAGATCAGACAACCTAGTCAAGTTAATAACGGTGTTAGTTTAGCAATCTCAAATTTACAAATTCAATTCTTAATGAGAATCATCTATTAACTTTATTGATTTGAACTTGTCAACTATGGACAACTTATGTTAGTTTATTTTATTGTGATTTTTTGTCAATTAGGGTCACAAGGCGGGATGCCAAGACTTACCTAGTGCACACTCTAGAGTAATGACTGGCTAACTGCGAGTTTCTCTCGTCATTCAAAAAATGGGGTGTATATGTAGTTCAATTATAAATTTAAACTTTTAATAGAGATGAATTAGATATTTTAATCTAAAAACGTAATAAGTGTGAATGAAAGTTATACCCCTGATTTATGTCCGTTTTTCCGTTAAATTTTTTTTTGTACATTATGCTATAAAGATTGTACATTAAAATATTTAACTTGACCAAATGTAGAACAAATCAATAGTCAATGAACCATATATGGTCATGGGCCTCATGCCCGGGTCGGGCCATGTGCGGCAAGGGCGACGGCACAACCCCCAATTTTTGGGGGCCAAATTTCTTTTAGGGAAAATGGCACTTTTCCCTCCTTTGTTATATACTTATAGCACTTTTTCCCCCTAAATTATTTAAGTGGCAGTTTTTTCCCCTGATATATTAAATAGACATATTTACCCTTAAAATAAATATTTCATTTATTTTTCTTCTCCAACAAATTATAACCACGATTTGAAAAAATAAAATACATTAAGTGTTGAATTTAGAATATTTTAAAAATAAAAAATAAAATTTTAAAAGAAAGTTTGAACCAACCGTTCAAATTGGATCCAAAATCGTGAACCGATGGTTCAAAATAAAACTCAAACCGCGATTATATATACTTATATGTGAGAGTCAATATAAATGCGGAAAAAAACATACACTATTTGCAAATATTATAATTCTAATTTAAGCTATTGCTAGTAGTTGTTCCGATTTGAACCTCCGGTTCACGGTTCAGGATCCATTTTTTTCCAGTTCACGATTTTAATAAACGGAAACCCAAATATTGGGTTATGTTATGAATCATAACCGAAATTTTTTAATTTGATTGCTATAGTGTTTGGTTCAGTTCGAACCGAACCGTGGTCATCACGACGTATAAGCAATAATTTGTTGAAGAAGAGAAATAAATAAAATATTTGTTTTAAGGGTATAAATGTCCATTTAATATTATCAGGGGGAAAAACCACCATTTCTATAATAATTGAGGGGGCAAATGTGAATGCATGAATAACTGAGGGGGAAAATGTGCTATAAGCATATAACACAGGGGGAAAAAGTGTCATTTTCCCTTTCTTTTAAAAAAAATATTATATATATAAAGTCATTATTTTTGTACTTGATAATTATACTTTTAGAATCCATAAATTAATCTTAATTGTAACTGAAAATAAAATTTTAAAATGAATTGGCATTGAAATTTTTGGTGAATAATTTTGTATTTAAATATGTCCAAAAAATGTCTTAAATTAAATTTAATTGTATTTTTCTGTGTTGAATTTTTATACATTATATTTGGACAAAATTTTTTATTACATTTTTATTTTTATTTTTGTTATAGAATACAATAACTTAAAGTCCAAATAGATTTGTATTCAATTACATCAGTTATAGAGATCTCTTATACTTATATATCATTATCTTTTAAGAGGTCTTTTGGAATTATGTTTCTTCTTTCCAAAAGGTTGAACCCCAATACGCTCCAATAGACATGCATGGTTCTGTAGTCAAAGCAACTTCGTCACTTTTGTGTACCCATCGGACGGTAGCCCATGCGGGGGTTCCTTAGAGACCGATTCACTCTGCGTAGATTGACTAAACGCAGAAAACCTTCAACTGGCATGCGATCGTGTTTTTCACAGGATTTTTCGTTACTCATGTTGGCATTCTCACTTCTGATATCTCCAGGTCTTGTCACCAAAAACCTTCCCCGATTGACAGAACGTTCCGCTACTTACACTTAAAACAGCAGCTTTCAAAGTCTCGTCGCGTCGTTGAATCACTTGAGCCCTAATACATTTTCGGTGCCATGGAGCTAAGACCAGTGAGCTATTACGCTTTCTTCAAAGGATGGCTGCTTCCAAGCCCTCCTCCTGGTTGTCATCTCTCGATCACTTCCTTTTCCACTAAGTGATTGCTTTGGGACCTTAGCGTACGATCTGGGATGTTTCACTCTCGATTTTGGATCTTAGCACCCAAAAAGTCTGTCTGTACAAACGATCTAGGTCTGTATTCGGAGTTTCCTTGGAGTTGATAAGGCGAAATGGGGCAACCCTAGCCCATTGAGTGCTCTACCTCGGGCCATCGACATCATACGCTCTACTGAAATAGATTTCGCGGAAAACCAGCTATATTCAATCTTGGTTTTATAAATAAAAATAACCCATATTTTTCATTTAATGACTTTGTTTATGATTAAATTGAAAGTTGATGAAAATTGATAAATGTCAATAGTTAAAAAATCTATTTATAATCAAATTAAAAATCAATATATAACCTGGAATTAACTTTAAATATTTGAATTTGAATCAAGTTTGTTATTATATATTCATGTTCCCATCACAAAATCGGATCCAAGTTGTTAGTTAGAAAGGGCCTGTTGTGGGCCTTCAATACAATATTCCTAATTCCTATGCTATAGTCCAACCCACATGAGTAAAAATTTGTTTTAACTTTTTTCTTTTAAACCGTAAAAGGCGGGGGAAAATAGCCATTTACCACTTTCTGGTGAAAAGGTACAAATCATCGCAAAGTAATCATTATAATGTCGTAAAACATTCGTATTGCGACTACTCTGACTTCACTTTTACCTATTCCCTTAATTATTTGTGACGCTAAAATATACGGAGTAAAATTTATCCTTTAAAAAAAAAATTGTTAAATGCCCTTTAGAAAAATTAAAAAGTTTCCTGACTCAACACTATATATTTCTGCATACAAATAATTCAATCAACTAAATCAACATCTTGTAGACTTTAAATTTGACTCTATAATTATCAAGCAAGTTGTAAATTTTGATATTATATATGACGAAATCAAGACCGGCTTAGGGCAAGAGTCCATCTATAAAATGATAGGACTCATAGGACCGGCCTCGAACGAAAGCAACTTTATTTTAAATTAGACTTTCATTCATACAAATTGTATTGTAATTTTGACCACTTTACTCTCTTTTTAAATAATCTCTTCAAGTTTTATTAACAAACTAATGGAGGGATGAAGTTGATCGTGTTTTAATTTGACTGTTTCCATCAACCGTACCGCGAAGGTGTAAAATTTCAAGATAATTTTGTTGTATTTTTCTTGAAAACGAATAATTCGGAGGATGACATGCACAAGTAGCATATCAAAATCTTGAGAAAACACGAGGGAAATGCTATTTTTTTTTTAAACAACTTATTAAAATCCTAATTGGGAATAACAGTATCGACTTTTATGCATGCAAGAATCCCAATAAAAAATTTACATGATAATTGAGTAATTACATTTAAACAAATAGAATGATATATTATTTTACATTTTAACATGGTTATTAATTAGAAGATTAAAAGTTAAATATATTACAAAATAATATTAAAAGTTTAAGTACGCTCTTACTTTCTTACTTTCTACTTCAATCAATTGAAATTAAATAAAGAATAAAAGTAAATAAAATATTGCTTGAAATAAAAATAATTTTATCATTCTTCCAAAATAAAAAAAGAATTAAATAATTTTATCATGATTTGAGGTAAAGTTGTGCTTTTTGAATATATTATGCTTTTTTCCACCAATTATTGCCTCAAAGAAAGTTCGAGTGGCCAACATCCAATGTGAATGTTTTGACATGACATTCAAAGATGCTACAAAAAGCATAACTCACTATTATTAATGTATCTAATTAGGGTAACTAAGGAAAAGCTAATTAGGCATTTCACTGTTAGTTGGTGAATGGTCACTTTGTGGACCATGAAGCTGCTAGGAAATTTCCACCCAAAATTTATATTATTTGATTTACAAAAAATAAAAATAAAAATTGAATATGTTATCTAATTCGAAATAAGTTCATCTTGTGATCCTAGCTGACAAATGATTATAAGAAGGCAAAAAGATTATGTCATGTTTTTTGAGTTGAGATAAAAAAATTTGTATATATACTAATAGCAGAAATATATATATATATAGATATATATATATATATATATATATATATATATTTTAGACAAAAAAAAAATTGTAACTATATCAATACTTGGCATACTCAATATATTTCTTTTATTCTTTATAATGTATTTAAAAAAATACAAATATGTATAAAATTTTTAATTAAATAATATGAACAAAATATAAGTATATAAATCACTATTGGAAATTCTGAAATTTCCGACCATCTGAAAATGATCTCAAATTAAGTTGATACCAAAAAGTCCAAAAAGTGGTCGGAAATAGCAACAAAGATTTTTCCGGACACCAAAAGTGGTCGGAACAAGACTTTCAACTTGATTTATGATCACTTTCATGTGGTTGGAAATTTCAGAATTTCCAGTAGTGAATATGCGTAGTGAGTGCATGAATTTATATACATGCATATGGTTAAATCATATTTCATGTGCTTTGTATATTATAATTCATTATTTGTAATATTAGACACATAAATTATATAATATTTTCGTGCATCTACGAATCTATGATAAAGGGTTAGTGTAAATATAAATATAAATACTCTCCTAATGCAAATTTATAGGGGAGAGTATGTGACACATTTCTATAATTCAGTTAGGTCAATTTCATCATTATCCGTACTAAATCAACTCGAAAAGATAAAAGAATCGAAATAATACTTCATGAGTCATTTGTTGTTTGTTATATTATTTGAGATAAGAAGTTTTGAAAAAAAAAACATTTTCTTTGTAGGGGCCATGCAAGATTCATCTATGTGAAAATTTATATATATATATATATATATATATATATATATATATATATATATATATATATATATATACACTTAGGTGAGAACGTGAGAATAAATCGTGTGCATTCATCTAATGTTTTTTAATGTTTTAGATTAGATTAAATGTATGCGAACCCGAATTAAATGTGTGCAAACTCACTTAATCGCATTTGGACACATTTAATTCGCGTTCGCACACACTTAATCTAATTTAGACCATTAAAAAAATATTAGATGGATACACACGATTTGTTTCTCACTACGTTCTCACCTAAACAAGTGTTTTCATATGATCATATATATATATATATATATATATATATATATATATATATATATATATATTACTGTTGTGCAGTGCTGCAATAATTGTTAACATTTGCAGACAAATGTATGATGATGACACCATCCTCTCCTCTATCATTGAGCAATTAATTCCTTTTTGTAGCCACATAATCTTTGCCACCTACTTCTACTCTACAACTTCAATACTTACAATATACTATTTTTTAAATATTAAAATATCATTATTTTGACTATATGAACGTATACCTGCCGTAGATTATACCAAGCTGAGAGGCTTTTCATAATCCTGTGGATGGGGTGAAGCGTGCCACAATACAACAAGAACAAACGTCCAAGGATGTCTGATGAATATGCATGATTGAACACCTGTGTTAATTATACGGAGTAAAATAAATAAAATGATTTTTTTCTTCAAATGAAATAGTTTCGTACAAATGTACAATGCAAAGGAAATATCACATTAAAAATATTATTAAATATAAAATTTATAAGAACATGTTGAAGAAAATAAACAAGAAAGGAAGAGTTTGTTTGAACAATAAATATTAAACATGACATGTAAATTGACATAAAGAAAAAGTCAAATTTAATATTTATAAGAAAATGTTAAAGAAAATAAATAAGGAATGAAACTAAGAGTTTATTTGATCTATAAATGGTAAACATAACAGCTAATTAACTGAAATAGAGGAAATAATATTTTAATTAAATTGTTTATTATTTGTTTGTTTATTTATTTGAGTTTAGGGATGGCAACGGGGCGGGGCGGGGACGGGGAATGGGGTCCCCGTCCCCGTCCCCGAAATGTCCCCCCATTCCCCGTCCCCGCCCCGTTCCCCGGCGGGGATGGGGAATTATTCCCCATCCCCGTCCCCGCGGGGATTTTTCGGGGACGGGGAATCCCCGCCCCGTTTTGATTCATGCTTACTTTTTTTTTTTTTTTTTTTTTTTTTTTTTTTTTATTTTAAAAAAACACACATAATATAATATGCATTCTTAACAAAACTAGAGAAACACAGTTTTGTTAAGGAAAAATCTTAAATCGCAAAGATGAAAAAAAAAAATCATCTACTAATACCATGAGAATATGCAGAGATAGAGAATGAAGAATATAATACATTGATGTTCAATAATAATTTAAACAAATAAACATAGCCTATTTATACAAGATATATGTACGGTATTACGGTAACAATGAACATAAAATGTATGTACCTAAACTAGAATACTAATTACATGGAAATTCAAGAATATGATTAAATATATACAAGAGAGATATTAATTTATATATAATATTAATATTATTAGTCAGGGATTCGGGGACGGGGCGGGGAATGCCCTCCCCTTCCCCGTCCCCGTCCCCGGCGGGGATTGGAAAATTCCCCCCATCCCCGCCCCCGTTTCCCGAAATAAATCCCCGAACCCATCCCCGTCGGGGCGGGAAACGGTTTTCCCCATCGGGGGCGGGTTCAATTGCCATCCCTATTTGAGTTGGTTTATTTATTTAAGTATTAGGTTTACCGTAAAATGGATGAAATGAAATTACTTGCTTTACCCAACTTTTTATGCTACTTCTATGTGAAGAATAACAAGGATGTTAGCGGGTCATTTTGATAGTTAAGAATTACAGGTGAAATTATGATAATACTTGGTGGACCATTCGAAATATTAACTCCTAAAATGATTTATTATTAAATTTTTCAAAAATTTGAAGAAAATCAATTTATTATAATCGTGCTCATTGCATTTTGCCCAAGTACACAGAACATATGTATACAAAATAAAACATAGGGTATGTAGCTCTTTGATCATATAGAGTTCGAAACAAATTATGGTATTAAAACAAACTATAATCGTGCTCTGTGCCTCTCGAAGCAAACCGGGTGAACCTGGACCGTTAAACGGACAAAGAAATACCCGGACCACAGTGTGGTTTAGACAAAAAAAAAAAAAAAGAGTTCGAAACAAATTATGGTATTAAAAAAGAACATAAATGTAAAAAGATCAAAATAATAAACTATAATTAATATTATATTACAAAATATTAGAAAATTCACTACAAATTTTCAATTCAAAAATCTCCTTGGACAAGATTTAGAATCTATCTCACAATACATATCCACCCCATCCAACTTTTCCCTTTCTGATATACACTTGAATTGGCATATATATATAATTTATTCATTATATTAGTTACTAGCTACAGGCACCTTCCTCCATATCCTGCGTTTTTGAACAGTTCTTGCTTTATGTCTTCTGCACTCAAAATTTCTCTGTGCTCCATTGCCTATCGCCACACATCATCAGATCACAAGGGGAAAAGATTAATTGAATTTAGAACATCATCGAATCTTTGGTAAATGGAACGACAAAAGTACTTTGTCTGTATACGATGTTGTACCTCAGTGCAAGAAGCTTGCATTGCGAACTCATTGAAACAGCTAATCACACACTGTTGAATCTCCAGGCCAAAACTCTCGACTGTTTTCACTGTTGATAGTAAAAGGCTGGGCTTTCCTGCACAGCAAATCTCGATCTTCGTATCACTTTCTCCTCTCCTCTGCACATCAAACTGCAAAGGCCACATGAAAGGAGGAATATATATATATATATATATATATATATATATATATATATATATATATATATATATATATATATGTCACTGCATGCCCAGAACTTTATTGTTCAAAATTATACTGCTACAAGGACAACTCCAGTCAAATTGGTCACACTGTTAATTTGGTAAACACAGAGTTTCAAATTCAGCTTCTAATAAGTGGTCTAATGATTTTCTTGATTTGAGCTGATTAGCTCTAGACAACCTAGAATGATTTATCTCCTTTTTGTTGTGGTTCTTTGTTGGAGATCGAGTTACAAGGTTAGATTTACTCAAAGAACATTATCGGATAATAGTTGTGAGTTTTTTTCGTGGCTTATAACGAGATTATAGATTATGTTGGTCAAATGGGGAGTAAATTTAAGCATACCTTAGGTGAATTTCTCACCAACATTTCATTGGGTTTCACATCCTTGAAGATGCTGTTCTGGATCAGCTGATTCTGCCCCATCTCCATTTCTCCTTGCAAATTCTTGATTTTCTCAAGTAACTCCTTCATGTAATCTATTGTGTCCCCTAGTATAGATGTCCTGTCCATCTGTCAATAAAATTATCCAATAAAAAAATTAATTAAAATCTAAATAAAGGGATGGAGAGGCCACCCAAGAAATTTTTAACCACTCTAAAGTTATCAAATTTTTAATTTAAAAAATTGATGAAAATTTGTGAGATTCTCACTAGAAAGGGGAAAGAAAAGTAGATTCATTTTTATCCACTACTTTGCCCCTTAATTGGGCTGACTTGGTGGGAATGAAGATTAATCTGATTATGATACGGGCTTAAATGTGTCTCCTATAATTAGGTTCTGCTCACACCTCATGGACTGACAAAAAAAAGAAAAGTAAAAATTGTGGCTTGAAGTTTGAATCTATGAATTGCATGGGGTGGTGGGACTACATAGAACAAAAAATAGAAGAGCAGAGTCAAGTAGTGGTAGAAGATCATAGTCGGGTAATGACTGCAAGTTTCTTTTTCACTCTAAAAAAATAAAATAGAAGGGTTGAAATGCAATAACCAAAGAAAGTTGTGGTACTAACTTTGCTAATCTTTGGAACAACTGATCTAAGCATGGAGAGTCTGTCATTAAGCCTTTTCCTTCTCCTCCTCTCAGCCATCAGATTCTTTGAAGGCTGGCCATGGGGGTTCCTCACTTTGCTCCTCTTCTCCGGCCACATCCCGCCGCCGCTCGCCACTTCACGGCCGCAAGATTGATGATGCACCGCCGCCTCCACTTTACACGGTCTACTACCATTATTATTACATCCGATCTCCATGGCCTCCAAGTTTTGTTGATGATGAAAGCAATTCGTAACCTCATCCAAGATTGCCGACAAATCTTCCTGGCCGGAATGGAATGCGGCGGCGACGGGCGGGGTGTCGTGCTTGGTGTTGTAGGAGTCCGCCGTGAGCGGAGGAGATAGTTCATCTCCGAAGGGCAGTGGGGTGTAGAACTCACCGTCAAAGGAGTAACTCATAAGGGTATAACGGTCAAACGGCGGGAAATTTGAGCAGCCTTGATCAAAGGAAGCTGTGGTTGCAGAAGATGGAAGGGGTAGTGATGGGTTTTTCCCTTCATAATCAAGATCGATATTATTGCCACTAATAACATTGTAATTGTTGCAGTAAAACTCATCATCATTATGGACAATATTCATTCCCACAGGGAAACAGCTGAAGCAGCTTTCTGCTGTTTCCCATGAATGATCACTTCTCAAGGCAACTAATTCTTCCAAGAAACCACTTTCATAGTACTCCATCTGTGTGTGTTTTGTGTTTTGTGTTTTGAGTGTTTGTGTGTGTCTCCTTTTCCTGTTCTTTGAAAATTTTAAGGAAAAGAAGAGCCTTGATTGGTGGGTGGTGCACCGTGTCGAGGAGGGAATTGAATACTTATATAGGGTACACAAAATTGGAGGGCAATGGGATTTGTCTTCTAATTATTATTTAATAAGAATAACATTGATTAAGGTAATTAATAATATAAATTTAGGCACAGTGACTTGACTGTTTTTTTTTTTTTTTTTTTTTTTTTACATTAGTGAACTAATGCATAGTGCTTACAATAAATCCATCAAGTTGGGTGACTATTAAGACTCGATCTTGAATCATTATTCATCATCTATAACCTTAGTATAAATTAAGCTGTGTCGACGTGGAGTTTTGTTATTAGCAAGGTATTCTAGTCAAATTCCATGATCAAAAGGCCAATGTTTGACTCTCATCATTGCTATAAATTTTATTGAGATGCCTGCATGGGCTTTGCTCACTGGTTCATAGGCAGTATTTGAGAGAAGAGATCAAGGTTCGAATCTCAACCGAGTCAGTGTGAGGATTATGTCTAGAGTGGGCAGATTCCTTGAGCGCACCGTTATTTGGCCATGTTTGCTGAGCCAATATTGAGTTACCGTGATTTATATCCTCCCAAATGCTCTATCAGACCGGGATGTGGGAGACCTTTAGGGTTGAGGATTCAACTTTTTGAGAGAACAAGAAATCTTATCTAGACATATATTCATCATTTATTGAGTAATTGATTATTAATTAAATAGTATGTGTAGGGTTAATATATACATGACCCATACAAATATGTTCATAGGTGAACAAAAAGGAACCCAAAATTTATATTGAAATGTTTTTTTTTTTTTTTTTTTTTTAAGTATCATGTTCATCATGTGAACAAGACAATAATATGTAGTAGGGGTGAACGGACCATTTCTCCATTTCACTTGCATCCAACTAGCTGCCTATGCATCTGCTGCGAGTCCGAGTAAGGAAAGAACAGATACAAATAATGTAATTCTTATTTTTTTTATGACAATGAAAATATAATTCGTAATCACTGTTTGGGAGTGTGTATTAAATAAATTTATGTGTGATTTGTTTGAAATCTTTTGGTTTGTAATTTTGTTGTTTAAATTGTTTAATCCTTGGGTGTGATTGCATAGCAAGGTGATTCATGTCTTTTTCACCGAAATTTGCAGTATCAAATGGAGTTAATTTTTAATTTGGAATAGTGTGAAAACTTTGACCCACATTTCTGTCTCAACCGAAAAGGACCGAGGTAGCATCATAGGCTGCGTCAGGTTGTTTGTATGCACACACTCCTATTCAACTAATTGCCCTTCAACAACATAGATCAAGAAATGAGATTTAAGGACCCTGAAACTAATGTAGTGGTTTGTTGCTTGATTTGAAGTCACAATTGAAGGTGGTAGTATAGAATTGTGCACATAAAAATTAAGGTCTAATTGGTTGGTTAATTGTATGATTTGTGATTTACTTCTGCAGTGATTCCAAGGGTAAGGTCTTGTGAGCTTAGGAAATAGTCAAGCTAAACAGACCCAATCACGATGACTTTTGGGATATACTCTAATATCTTGTTTGTATTATACAGCCAAAAAAAGAAAATGAGTTCTATTGCATGTATATTTTTATTTTTACTTCTTCACTTTCCTTCCCTCATGTAATAATTGATGATTAGTTCTTTTCAAAAGGTTGAACCCCAATCCTAAGAGTCCCCCATACCCCGACCCGACAGAGTATTTGGGAGGATGTAAATCATGGTAACTCAACTGAACATGAACCACAGAGGCTAGACATTTGCTCACTGCGCACAAGGAACCCTCATCACTTTGAGAGGTTGCTCCCACATTGTCGCTGGTGAAACGCGATCTTTGGTCGTTCTTCCCAACTTTCACCTCTATGATTAGTTATCTTTATCATGTGGATCATTTTCCACGGAGTAAAAATTAGGAATTGAATTTTGGATTAGGAATAGTTTTTTCCAACGAAAACACACTAATCAAGCTAGAAATATACATTGAATTCTATTTATCTTTACAAATACGTAATTGTTGTAGGTTATACCCTGACAATATACCTAAACGGGTATATAATGAACAATTTAAAGTTCAATTTCTTATTTTTTTAAAAAAAATTATTACTTTTAGTTTTTTTTTTAAATAAAATAAAGAAGCTTAATATAAGTGTAAAAAATGATACAAAAAAGCACTAGCAGTGTCGGACTAAAATGCTGTGGGAAATTTTTGCCAAGAGTACAAATGAGTTTGGTGTATGCTTTGTACTGTCGTCTGTTTTTATTGTAGTAATTTATATCAATTAAGATGCACCATATGTACCTTTGTCAAAAATTTTCATTTGAAAATTTTGTATAATCCCTTTAATTAGTTTATTCTAATCTATTTAATTAACTTTTCATTTCCCATAGAGTGTACTTTATTATTAAATTAAATTAGCTAATTAAAATTTTAATCACCTTTTGTCCAAGAAGACAAAATCAGCACGACAAACACCTAATATATATACTAAGTACAGTAGTTATTAACGTTGGTAACGTCAATCCATATGCTACTGATCTGTAGTATTCTAATGAATTCAGTTTGGCAGATGTTATATGTCATATCCACTAGAAGAATATACTATGCTATCAACTGCAAATTCTTGCAATTATAACTGCACTTTGTTCAGCTGACAATATATATATGTGCATTCATCAATAAAATAATCAAGGACCTGCATTTTACCAATGGTGATCTGTAGGCAAAATGTAGCTAGTAGTGTAGTTTACAACTTTATTTCTTTATACTTATGTAACAACCAAAAATAAATTAAAAAAAATAAATACTTATGTAACAACCAATGCTACACCTTAATTTCAATGGTAAAATACTGGATTCGGTCTTCCAATTCTTAAAATCCAAAGTTGTATTATAACACTTTAAAATATTATAATTAAAAAATTGATGTATAAAATTATGAACATTTAGGAGTGATGAATGAGTTATTGGGTCAAAGAATGAGGCCAAACACCTTGTGCTTAGATGACATGTAATGACATTTTTCATGTGGGAGATCATGAAATCGAACCTCAAAATAAAGTATGTTTAAACAGATATTACAATGTAAGAGTCAGTAGCATTCAAAAATAAATAAATAAATAAAGGTCAAAGAATGAGAATGAAAACCGCAGAAGTAAATCTTATTAGGACCACCAATATATGTTTGGTAATTTAGTAATAATTTACATAAACGTATACGTATGCATGCATAATTATACCATTTATACGCAATCGCATTGTTTAAAATCATTACATCGCTTTGCACGTGGATTGCACGCATCTACCATAGCCGTCGAACGAAGAATAATACCAAAACAAGTAAAAAGAATTTGATTGGCTGTTTTTACTACTTTTCTTGAATTATTGGTACGTTTGGTATTTGGCGTATTGCTCTTTCTTCCCTGGAATGATCTTCCAGATTTTAATCCAACCACCATATAGAAAGTAAACAAAGGTGTATATCTATCTATAATATTATATATAACTATAATATGGTTTCTGCCACTCGTCAGTACGGTTAGTATTTACGTGTACCAATCACATTCACATAACTTTTTATTTTTTTTTAAAACCATTCACATAATATGACATTTGAAGATTTGTATACTATTAAAGTCAGAATTCACATGGATCATTCATTAACATATTCTACCCTAGATATAATAACATTAGAAAAATATTATAGAAGTTGAATTGTGAAATTTGTAAATAATTACTATAGCTGAAATTTTTTGTACATAACATATTGTATTCTTATCAGGGATGGAGTCAGAAATTTCATCCAGTAAAGACGAAAAATTAAAATAAATAAAATATTTAAAAAAAAAAATTAATCAAGCAGAGAAATTCAACCTCTTGACCTCTACTACAACACATACATACATACTTACATTTAATTAAACACTTCATGTTTGAGTAATATATATCTAAACATTTACTATATATATATATATATATATATATATATATATATATATATATATATATATATATAGGGATGGAGCCAGAAAATATGTTGAGGGGGGACAAAGAAGTAGGGATGGATTGAATGGCGGATTCAGAAATTTTTTTCAGTGAGGGGAAAAAATTAAAATAAAAGAGAAAGTTTGAAAAAAAAAATGAAACACTTAAACAAGTATAACAATAATTATTGTTGGATATAGAGAAAAATAAAACACATTAAAACTTTATAAAAATATTTATAACAAAATATGAAACATAATTAATTTGATAAAATAATTCGAATATAAAACACATTATAAATTATACATTCTATTATTAATATAAAGAAAGTTATATATATATATATATATATATATATATATATATATATATATATATATCCCATTATTAATATAAAGAAAGTTATATATAAATCTCATTATTATTAATATAAAATAGAAAGACATCTCATTATTAATATAAAAGAAAGTTATATATATCGTGCCAAAATTTAATTGTATTAAGCAAAGATGTGAAGAAGATTATAACATTGTCCATGCAAAGACTCAAACCCAAGCTATTTTGAAACCCATACACATTTCCTACCACCTTGTCTACCAAAACTTTTGTGTACATATTCTGTTTTATAATACTAATATAAATTATGTACTATATATACATATTATATACAATATAGGGTAGGGGTGGGGTGGGGTGAGGAGGGCAGATGCCCACCCTTTGGATCCGTCTATGTGTATATATATATATATTCAAGGACCCCTATATATAAGGGTGAGATGGAGCGGAGGAGGGGGATAGGTACCCCGTGCCTCCATACTGACTCCGCCCATTATTCTTATGATTCAATTTGGATTGTGCTATACCTGGAAGAAAGCTTGATACAAAATTTTTTGACATGCACATTATGATGATAATAATTAAAAAATAAAATAAAAACAAAACGGAGCTAGGGGAGCTAGTTGATGTGTTATAAAACCAGCGGCCGGTTAATTCTTTCCCTTTCAAGAATACAACGTTTGCAGCCCACAAGATTAC